GTACACTGACTTTAAAGCACGGCCATGCATCCAAAAGTTTTTCGAGTATGCGTGTGTGGATGTAGGCATGTATGGATGTGTGGATTTTGTTGTGGGTGTGTGGGTGTTGTGAGTGCGGATGTGCATGTGGGTGAGTGTTGGTGAGGGTGTGGGTATGGCTGTTTTTTCTTTCCATTGACACTCACACTCACACTCACATCCATCCATGCAGATTTCTCTATTATCCGAAGCTTTATGGGCTGATTTCTATGGACTGCTCTGCGGCTCTAAGGTTTTACCATCAGTTTGACAAATTGGCGGAAGGGTTGGAATCTAGCACTGTGACTTCGAAGCAGGACTACGCAGCTCCAAGTTTTTCGGCCTGAGGTCCGCTGATAGCCATTTGAGACAAAATAGTTTCGCTAAGAGTTTGACGCATTGCTCCGTGTCCCGAAGTGATTGACTCTTGATGTTTCACATTAGTGTCAGTGGTGAAGGTTGTCCCTCTAACTCCGTTACATCACTAAGTGAATCAAAGATTTCTATCCGTACTGTTACAGATTTTGCTATGGTTGGAAACGTTTCGTCTGTATTATCACGTATTGATCTGACAGACTAATTCTGAACTTCATCTATGCAGATTAGTTTACGACCAGAAGCTTTTCCACCGTTGGGTGTGGGTGTGGGTGTGGGTGAAAAGAATATATGCACCCACACCCTTGACAAGGGCGGGGCATATTGGAGTACGCAGACTTTTTGAGAATTGTTTGACACTAAGCGTTTGGAGAGGGAAAGATTTCGATGTGATTGGATACGTCTGCAATAGTTGGTGAAGTACACTGTCAAGATATCCGCGAATTCGGCTGCACTTCAAAATCATCTTTTTTCAAGATTCGAAGGTAAGGAAATTTTGCTCGAAGAGTTTTTTTCACAAAAGTTTGTTTTTCCGACGTTCTTAGTTGGTGATTCCTGTGCCTTCTGTATCTCGTATATCTCTATATCTCTATATGTCCTATGTCTTTATCTGTGTATCTGATGTGCTGGTATTCATTCAAGTGTCCAGGAAACGCTAAAAACGCATCATATGGTCTTTTTTCCGCACCCACATCGAGAGACGTGCTATGACTTCTTTCCCCACACCCTCACATCAAGCAGTCGAATTCATCTTAACAGTTGAAACCTGAAACTTCAAAACTTAATTGGATTCGAGTTTCAACTTTTACATATATGCGAAAGGGGTGATCGAGACGATAACTAACACACAAAGACATACAGTACTTTGCTGCTGGTATGGGTGGCGTGAAAGGACTAACTGTGAGCAGAGCATAATTACAAAGACGACACACAGCAGATCACAGCTGGTGTGGGTGCCGCCGATGGCCTGGCCGTGAGAGTAAGGTAAACACAAGCATACATATCACATCGCACCTGGTATGGACTTTGCGAAAGGAGTGTTCGAGATGACAGTTCGAACAGAAACACACATATATCACACTGCAGCTGGTGTGAGTGCGACGAAAGGGCTCACCGAGCGAACAACTCAGGCACAAACACACATCACACAGTAGCTGTTATGGATGCGATGAAAGTAGTGATCGACACGACAACTCTAATTGAAACACGCACGCACCACATCTTAACTGATGGTAGTTTCGCGAAAGTACTGATACAGACCACAACTTACACACAAATACGTCAACCGCGTCGCGCGTAGCATAGGTATCATGAAAGAACTGACAGAGAAGAACAACTGAAATGCCAACACACATGGGCCATGTTGCGGCAAGTGGCAGTTGCAGGAAAGGACTGACTGAGATGGCAAGTTCAACTCAAACACATATATCACATAGATGATGGTATGGATCGTGTGAAAAGAATGAACGAGACCACAAGTCCAGCTGCAATATAGGCACCACATCGGCGACGACGTTGGTCCCGCGAAACGAATGATTGAGGGGACCGCTAGAACAGAAACATAGAAATACCACATCACAGGTGATATGGGTTTCACGAAACGGCTGATCGAGGCAAGATCTCAAGCACAAACAGATGCACTACATCACAGCTTGTGTTGGGTTCTGCTAAAGCACTAACCATGAGAGGAACTCAATCAGAAATACACCCACACCTCACATCTCACCTGGTGTGGGTTCGCCGAAAGGAGTGACCAAGGCAGCAACTGAAACATAAAGACACGCGCACCACGTCGCAGCTGGTGTGGAAGCAACGACAGGACTAACCAAGACGTCGACTCAAAGATAAACATACACGCACAGGACATCGCATGGTGTGGGTCTGAGTCTGAGTCTTTGTGAATGTATCTGTTCTTGTGTCTAACACTAAGGCACCCACACCGATGTGCCTCGCTGTCAAGAGTGATATGTCTGTACATTGGCGCGAATTATCAGAGATACTATGTAAGCAAACGATTTATGTCGAGGATGTCTTGCATTTGTCAAATATCTCCTATATCTATTATATCTACGTAATCGAATTTCCAGAAAACGCTGAAAACGCATCTAATCATTCTATTTAGTAAAAATTCGTCTCAGTACATTTGATATATTATCTATTAGCTCTCTCTAATAGTAAGATATCTTATCAAAGCAAGATCAAATAATTATTTAATACTTTAGCATATTCTAGATGTATTTGAATTTCCCACTTATTATTTATAGCAAATACATTGAGAGTAGTAATTAGAGATAATAAAATGCAGACAAAGTAAGATGCTGATTAAGTATATAATTGTTTGATTATGTTTGCGTCGAAATAGTGGGTAGCTTTCGTACAATGTTGATAGCAAGTCTACTTACCATATACCAGATATAACTCTATTAACGTTCCTAAAAATTTCATTGCACTGGCAATCAGTCTATGATTTAGGTGTTTTGAAAAAGAGGGTCTGGGTGTGGGTGTCATTTTTCTATTCACCCACACTCAGACTGCCTATCTACATCCACTCCACATCCACAACCACACCCATCCACATCCCCAATCGAGGATATTAGCGGATGTGTATGTATGAGGCGCGTAGAGTTAGCTTTAGATTTGAGTGTACGTGTTATATTTTTCATAACTGATACCCCCATTCTGTGAATTTTTTTCATGGATGTGCCAATGAATGAAAGACCATAAATGTAACCAACTTACGGAATAAGTGGTTTGAAATTCACCGGCTTGTGTTGCTTTAATGAAAACTTGTGTCAAAATTCTATATAACAAAATTTCTTTATAAACATACGTATTAAGAGAACTAAAATAAAACTAACTTTGTGACTACTAACTCGTAGTTAAGTAACTGGACAAAAGAGAGATTGACAATATTTATTGATCGGCGATTATTGAAAACGAACAGTGAAAGCAGGTAATTTTGAAATACGAAATAATAATTATTCTGCAAGAGAAAAACAATGCAAATCAATTTGTGACACAGAAACAGCTACAGAACTGCAAAAATAAGTTAGAAGTGAAAGTAAACAGTGAGTCGTAGATGTTGTCAAGACATGCACGGTACGTCACTCGCATTGAATCGAAACTTAAAAAATATTTTCATTTCATTGAAGACCGTTCGATCGATGAAAAAAGAGAGACAGGCAGAAAAAGGAAAATGAAATGTGCTTAAAAAGCAAGCGCTCCGAGTGTTGTGCACTTCAATGATTCTCTCGAACAGTTGATGAGAATGAAGAACGTTCGACGATTGGACAACAGTACACATTGAATAAAACAACAGCAAAAATGTTGTAATTAACTAAAGGGGATAAAAATGTTATTAGATTTTCGTTTTTTATCAACCTTACATAAAAAACAATAATTTAATAAAAACAGAATAGATGAAATAAAAAATCTTCAGAAACATTTTTAAAAAATCAGGAAAATTAGAAAAATTCTTTTTTCTAGTTATTATAATAGACTTTGTCTTCTAGATGTAAAAATCACCCTCCATTAACAACTAGGTTCTACGTATGTGCTTTACCTACACGAAAATGTCTGAAACAAAGCGAAGAAATGTTCAAAATCCAGACTTTTTCAGTAAATAATACTTAGCTTTTCTGTTCAAAAGTGATACAAGGGTATGTGTGTGGGATTTTGATATTAATTTGACGCACACTCACACCCACATCCTGGCTATCGCTGCTACGCCAATAGCAGCAGTTTCTGTCAACTGTTTTTGTCGGTCAGAGGTTGATCGATGACTGAATGAATGCAAAAGGCACAACGTCGTCTTCTCATGTTTATATAACTGTTTATCCTTTTTATTGACATTTTTTTTCTGGCTTGTTGCTATCGACCTCAAGTACTTCTTGTCTCGTTCGATTTTGTCATTTCAAGAGTGTTGCCGACGAAACGATAATAACCAACAAGCGAAAATTTTTGTACGCTAAACAAGTAGTAAGGAAGAAGGAGAACGAAATAAAGTAAAATAAATGCATTATCATGATTCATTGGGAAAAAAATTAAAAAATCATAAATAGAATTTTTATAATATTGTTCTCTGTTTGTCTGCTGTTGTTTGTTTAGTTGTCAAGCTTTTTTCCAACATAGTAGTAAGCAAGGTATTCTATGTGTGTGTACGTGCAACTAGACATGTAGGAAGAAAAGAACGATAAGAAGACCAAACGAAACACACATGCGTTTCGTTTGCTTGATTAGTTGCAATCAAACGAAACTGACAATCCAAGTGCGCAATAGAAAAAAATTATTTGTTGATTATTTTTTTAATTTCATTGTACGTAAAATACTATCATCGTATACTGATGGATGACTGCTATGTTTCAAAACAGTGGTTGACATAATTAATTTTGTTTTCACACATCACTTCATACATATTTTATTAATCTGCTAATATTGCTATTGCAACTGAAATAGATAGAATCGAATAAATGAGTTACTATACAAATATCTAGAAATAGGCCGTTGAAATAAATAAAGATGAAAAGCTAACGTATTTGGAAATAAAATGAATCATTTATTATTCAATGACCATTTGTGACTTTAGTTTATACATGAAGGAATTTTCTCTAATATTATTCGATAAAAATGGTGAGGAATAGGGTGTGGGTGTGAACCTTTTTTAACCATCCACACCCACACCCACACTCGAATACTTATTATATCAGTTAATAACTCAACAAGCTCTACAAATTGGTATCACTAAAATCTTAAAAGCGATTGATCAATCCGTTGTTTTCCGGGTGTGTGTGTGGGTGTGGATGATGAAAAAAGGTTCACACCCACACCCACACCCTTCAAGTCTGGACTCACAAAGAAAAAATAACCAATCAGGTCCGAGCCCAAAAATCTTGATCGGTCGAGTCTAGATCCGGATTTCGGTCCAGAAAAATTAAGTTGATCGGGTCCGAGTCGGGTTCGGATTCAGAAATTCTTGAACCCGATGGGTTCTAGTGTCTAAACACGTTTTGAGAAATTCTTGTCTGGTTGGAAAATTTTCTTGAACATCAGAAAATAATGTTCAAGAAGATCAAAATTCAATTTAATAATTAAAATCTTCTTTTGAAATTCGAATTTTGAAATGAAATTCAGTGTTTAAACTTTGATTTATATATAAAAACTGATTTAATGTTATCTAGTCTTGAAAATTTCCGATGTCTTGTACTCACACAAAACAAAAATAAGCTTCAAAATAATTTAACTAAATCCATAATATTCTTTGATGAAATTTCTTTGTTGTTTAATTTTCTATGTTGATGCAGAATAAAATTCTAAAATTTAATATCTAGATCATCCATCCACATCGGAAATTGTATTTGTCGATGCAATATTCTCACCAACATGCCGTATACAATGGACACCATCAACAAATTATTTTATTGAACGTGGAGGTTCACATTAGTCAAAAATAACAAAACAAATCATTTCATCAAATACAAATAATATAAAAGCTGAAGAATCCATTGAAGAAAATGAGTATAAATTTCGAATAGTTGATTGTAATCAAGTTGATCAATAAGACCTAAAAGCTCTATCAAGAATTATTGTTGTCAAAAATTGATTTCGAATGTCATATAATTTTTCAAAAAAATACAAACTCGGATCTACCTATCCATTTAACTATAAATGTGATTGATAATGAATGGATTGAGTTAAATTACGAACCATCAATCAAAGATGGTGGTTCGTCAATAACAGGTTATATAATTGAATGATGAACTGCTTGAAAGGATACATAGCATGTAAGTTAAAGGAACTGTTTTTTTCTATTATCTTACCTTTGTTTATTTTTCGTATTTTTATAAGGGCAGATTCATTATACATACAGGATATAAATATAAATGTCGCATTCGAGCTCAAAATTTTAGCTGACCTTAATGATAAATCGAAATTCTACTAAAAAGACTAAAATATGAAAATGAACTATTGGTGAAACACCAAGATTTAATCAAAAACTTGAACTTATGATAATCATTAATAGACGACCCGTTATATTGACAGTTCGTGTTAAACATGATCCAACATCAGAATTTAAATGATAAGTATAATAAAATATAATAGTCATTTTTGAATAATTATAAAATCTTTTATTGAAAAATGATTATACAGTTGTACTAGATAATCATATACAATTAGATTAATAATTAACAAAACTATAACAAAGAATGCAAGTACTTATGAATTAATAGCTGAGAATGCTCTTGATCCAATTGATTATACATTTCATGTCAAGTATTCTTTTTGTAAAAAATTTAATTATAAACTTTTTTTCTTATCTTTTTGAATTTCATCATCACCAATCGATATTACTATTAGTTAATTTTTATATGTTTCATGTGAAGTTACTAGATACAAAATTGACAGTACTCAATATCGATCTCATTCCATTCGATTGGATTATTGACCGAGAACATGTCGAAAGATCGATCGATGATCGAGAAAAGGTTGCCTTGAAGCGATCTGATCGAGAGCAAACGAGCCTGAAATGGGTAGATCTCAAGATCTGATCACATGAGCTTTAACGATAGGTATCACTAATTCGAATTAAATTAAAAAATAGTCATTAATCGGCTCTGCAGAAAAAATGGAAAATGCGCTGAAGAGTGGATCCGAACCATGCTTTCAAAATGTGTTGCACTTTAACCTCTTGGATTCCATTGATTCTTGCGTTCTCTACACGTGCAGAGAAAAATCAAAAAACCACTCTCTCTTGCTTTCAGTCATCGTCAATCAGCGGTGTACATGTGCTAAATTTTTTCGATCATAAAACACGGGTTGATGTCTCTCTTCATATGACAGCTGTTTATCGATAAGACAACAAAAAAGAAATGTCTTGTGTTCTGCTTGTCTTCAACCGGAAGACACGGGATTCAAGAGGTTAATGTATCACACATTGTGTCGTAAAGCACGACACATGCGGCACGTGTTGTTTTAGTGTATGTAATAAAAAAGTTGTCTTTTTTCCTTGAGTCAATATAGAAGAAACTTCGTCGTTATATTTATCTCTTATCTTATGCAATGTAGTAATTACACAACAGATCTGATGTAGTAAAACGAAGTGGATATCACTAAAGAATATATCGAGTAATGGAGAAGTCAGTGGAGCTCAACAAGAAGATAATTTCGTGTCGTTTAGCCACGACGAACGATATTGATCAAATTTGTGATTCAATCGACGATCGTAATTTTATCCGTTCTTTTCTTGAACGGTCCGTGGCGTCATCTCACTGTCATGTCGCTCTTTGGAATGGCACATTCATCGTTGGTTATGTTGTACTTGACTATTCTTTCTACGCACAAGCTTTCATTTCAATGATTCGTGTCCATCCGTCGTATCGGCGACAAGGTGTTGGTCTTGCGTTGATGCATTATTTGGAAGAGGGAACTTTGATTACTACAAAGAAGGTATTCACATCGACGAATCTGTCTAATTTATCCATGCAATCATTGCTCGCTAAACTGAAATATCAACTGACTGGAGTGATTCACAATTTGGACGATGACGGAGATCCAGAATTGGTTTATTACAAGGTTCGAACGACCTAATTAGACTTTATCACGTTCAAATACGTATATTAAAGAATATCTTCAGTTTCAAATAAAATTTCCGAATTCTACTATTACTTTTATTCTGCTGACAGTTACCTGCTAATTTTCTTTCAAATTAACAAATCATTGATATATTTCGAAGGTTTTAGTATGGAAATTAAATTCCTTCGACAGATTTCTCGATTCTATTTTGTGAAACTCACGTATTTTTTTTTTGAAGAAAATAGTGAGTGTAAGTTTTAACTAGAATTTCTGTGGTTTTCACTCATTCCCTCCCCATTACAGACCTGAGCGACGGGGGTTAAGCGTTATTGAGTATGCTTCCATAGCAATCGAGGACAACGAGCATCAGAATAGTCTACTATAATTCCTTAGTAACAGAACACAGGCACTGAACGACATTAATAGTAAAGCTTTTAAGACTCTAGAACGTTTTAGAATCTTCCTTGAAATTTGTGCAGATATTAAGTTCTAATTTCCCGAGGAAAATAAATATCAGTCTTTTTGAATTCATAGAGATTATATAATAGACTGTGAAGGTCTACTGTAGATATAACGAATGTGTACAACAGGATCATTTGTCCATTAAATCCATGGTTAGACTAATGATAATAAAGCATGAAAATACAATAAAAAGAGAAAATAAATATCGAGCAAATATCAACAACACAAATAAAAAAAGAGCGTCAGTCAAAACAAAATTTCTGTTCGAAATGTATAAATAAAAAAGACAAAACGTTTGCTGACAATCGATTATCGTTGAAAAGGAACTATCGTTTTTTAGAGATCTTTCATTTTGTTTATTTTGTATCCCATATTTCAGCTCCAAAGACGCTCTGTTAACAAGCTTTTTATTGATTTTTTCTGCTACTTCAGCTAATAGATGTTAGAAAACAACTTCGTTCGAAAAATTACTCTTTTTTACTTAACATCATGGAGATCTCGATGCGAGGGTGAGTGTGAGTGTAGGTGTGAGTAGTTGAATAGATAACGAAAAGAACCACATTCTCACCCACATCCATATTTCACATACACTCATCCACTATGGTGAATAGGGAAAAAATTATTTAAAAGAGAAGTGTTTGCATGGCATTTGTTTCTCTTTATATGTCGTCTATAATTGCGCTTATATCAAACTGTGCAGATGTGAATATCACGTGTTCATAATTATAATTAATGATTAGCAGAAAATAAGGGAAGAAGAAAAACAGAAAGTATAGTATGATTAATAAGACGATATGATGAGTTAAAAAATAAGAAATAGCAACTACATGATGTCCCAAAAGTCATGATCACTTAATAAATGCAGATAACTCGGCTATTAATCAAACTTAATCAAAATCGTTCTTTTTTATTTGTAATAGGAAACGAATAAGTTTCGATTTGTAAAGACCCAGTTCACCAACAATGTGGAAAACATAATACTTTTGGTCCCAGCTTAAAAATTATGCTTTTTTTGATGCTACCAACAATACACCCACACCCAGAACTAATTGATTTTATTCTACTGTATTTCATTATTTACAATTGAATCATTTTCGTTTTTGTCTTCAGAAATCTTTCGCTTGGGCGAGTGTTTTTCGCTCGAATCGATTTCAAACCTTTGTCAAATATTTCGATGTTTTCTTTTCATCACGAATTCAAATAAAAGTCGAGTTAATGACTGAAGTAGATACATTTCAGAGAATACAATAGAGAAACTATTCAAAACAGACTCATCAACTACTTGAATTTAGTGAATTGAAAATGTTTGAGTATAGTTCGATAAGACTGAAAATCATTTGCGGATTCGACAACTTAAGAAATCTTCAGGAGAAAAATTTCTAATTTTGTTTCGAGATCAAATTCTAAGATTTTTTCTTCTCATCGATCTTTCGAATGTGAAGGTCAATCAGCTTTTCTCAGGCTGAGCAAGAATTCAGGAGAAACGATCACTGTTCGAAGAAATCAATCAGAATGATCGATTCTATCAAAAGTTCTCTTTTTATCAGATGAAAACAAGACATGATGTCAAAGTTTCGATAATTCTCACATAAATCTCAAAGATTGAAGTGTATTCATTCGAGACAACAGAACGAAACGATCTCGATCGAAAAGAATCAATTGACACTGATCAGACACTTTCGTTAATTCCTATAAAATCAATTGTTGCCTTCATTGAGAAACAACGATTAGAGCGCGTTTTCTTACATTCACTAAGAAACATTTCTTTAAGAATAATGAATGAGTCTTTGAGCTTTCTTTGGTTTGTTTAAGTGAATAATCTTCAGTTTTATTTCTTCATTGATTCTCAGTCGAGAGTGTGGGTGTGGATGTGAATGAGGAGAAGACCCATACACCCACACACTCGACAAATAATTGTTTTTTTTTCTTTTGAGTAACAAATCTTATTGATTGATTCGATCTCGAGATCATTTGAATAACATATTTTGATTGAGGTCAACATCGCACAAGATCTATCATTTTCTATCGAAGAAATTGTTTGAGAAGAGGATTGTTGCGAATAGAGCTCAGAAAAAAAAATGTTCCTGCTCAGATCCATAAGCGATTCCTCCATTGAATCATCGTCTGTGTTCGAAAAGTTCTCCGACAATTACCAAATGAATTCCATTTATCTTATCGAAGAAAAAGAATCGAATGAGAATTGTGCACAACTGTAAATACTTGAACTCGATCACTAATATGCCTATTCGAGAAGATTTAAT